TCAAGACATAGGACACTTTTTATAGCTATTAAATCGGTCGCGGACACTTAGCCGACGAGACACTTAACCGACAAGACATTTAGCCGACAGGGACACTTAGCCGATAGTACATTTAGCCTACATGAGCAATTAGCCGACAGGACAATTAACCAAACTGGACACTTAGCCGACGGGTCATTTTGCTGACACGGACAGTTAGCTGACAGTGAGTCTCGCTCTTCCCAGTGCTTTCAGATTTCTAATACTTTCACATTTTATTACTTCTTTACTCAACACATCACACTACATTCATTCCCGTATAAAATCGTTTCGCTCCTCCCACTAATAAAATTTCCTTTCCCTGTCAGGAAGTAGAGAGATTCGCCCTACTCCTCGCCACACTGGAAATACTTTTTTTTTTTCTAAAATCCTATTTACACCCTCAGAATGGTATTTGCAGTTTAGGCATTGCATATTTATTAATCTCGGATAGGGCTCCGGCACGGGAATTCGTACCTCGTGGCCTGCGGCCACCTAACAGAAGTAAGTTTGGTTTATGTAATTATGGCAAAGCCAGAAAGCTATCTGCCTAAAGGGAGGGATACCTTCGTGGAGGACTTTTTAAGGAAAACTGGCTCTTATACATGTTACACATGAGGAAAACCACGAAAACACCCATGCAGCCTGTCCGTTCGCGGGATTCGAAATTCGGTAAGAATTGCTAGTGTTCAGTGACTTTACTGCTCGGCCACTGCTGGGCCTAACAAAAATAGAGTGGCCGTTTTACTTAATATATAACCAGTCTCTTCCAATGAAAATTGCCTTTTTAGGCTAGAACTTTATGAATGCATTCAGGAAAATGGGCAAGGAGAAAGAGAAGGAATGAAAGAGAAAAAAATAATAAAATTAATGACAAATGAAATGAAAATTTATACATTTTTAACAGATATTGAGAAAGTTACATTTTATAAGAAAAACTTTCTTTGTCTGTTTTTATAAGAAAAGTTACATTTTATAAAAAACATTAATTAAAGTTACATTTTATACGAAAAACATTAATAATGTATAATTTTCAATATAATAAACATATTATATTGAAAATTACACATCGGCACATGACTGATTTAGTTAAATGTATCATCGATGGATGGCACCACATTACGGTGAATTTTCAGAATGTCTCGTTTTGTTCCGCCCTGCTTGCTTGTGGCCCTTCCTGCAGCTTCATCTGATTTCTCTTTGGAGATTTTCCCACGTCCGGAATTTCATATCAGCAAAGTTTTCGATATATGAAGTGCAGAAAATGTAGTTTTTGAGTAACTTATGAATAAAACAAAACCTTAAAGAATATTTTACTTCTAAATTAAACATTATGTACCAGTTTAGTACTATAAATATTAACCTAATTAGGTATTTTAAGAGAGAGGCATGGTCAACGCTTAAATGCTAATTGCTTATGCATTTTAGCCCAGATGGGCTTTAATGAGCTATATTGATCCAATTCCCTAAGGACAATCAGAGTGTCAACTATCAGCTAGTTCCCAGCCGGGAAATCAGAGCGGATACGCGTGGTCAATAAAATGTTACAGAATTTTTATCTCAAGAATGGTGGCATGAACAACCCATTATATAGGTCACAAATAATTTATGCCTTTGCTTGACTTAAAAATTCACTTTTTAAAATTCTTTTTAATAACAAAATAAAATATACTGTACAAAGTCCGTAATCCGAACGTCCTTTATGTGGAATGATCTATAATCCGGACCTCAAAGCCACAAACTTACGCTTGCGCCTTTGAATGCGTGTGTCCGCTACGTGTAAAGCCAGTAAAGCATTTATCCATGTGTGCTTTCGATAGTGAAGAAAGTAACAGAGAACGTTATTGAAAACGAAAAAATTTCAATTGACAAGTTAGTCGGTGTTCTTGAATTACAGGACTTGAACAGTGGAACATTGTAACTGAACAAGAAATTATGTCTGTTTATAGAATTAAAGAGAACGTATTAGCACAAAAAACGAAGCAACTTAAAGAATTAAAGAGAAAGTATTAGCACGAAAAAACGAAGCAACTTAAACAACTTACATTGACAGAAATGTTTAATAAAGTAAACAAATAAATATTAAGCTTTTTTTTTTTGTAAAATTTGATACCCTTTAGATCATAATTGCTCTTTATTTCAAAAATTACGGTTTTATATTTTTAATTGTATAATTTCTGCATGCCATCTTACTAGATTTAAATTGATGATCTATAATCCGGAATCCCCGAAGTCCTGACGAGTCCGGATTACGGACTTTGTATTATATTTGCTAAACTAACCCTTCACCACCATATGTTCTATAAAAAGTATGATTAAAGAATAATATTAATTTTTATTGCATTATTCAGATTTTCATGACAGGCAAGAGAACTTTCATTAGTGGGAGGAGTGAAACAATTTTGTATGGGAAAGAATGTAACACGATGAAATGAGTAAAATAGTAATCAAACGTAAAGGTATTAGAAATTTGAAAGCAATTTGAAGAGCGAGATTGGAAAATTAATATCATTAAGTAAACAAGAAAAATTATTAATGATGTCAAAGTGTTCAAAAGAACCCAGTTGATTAAATGAAGAAGCTTTACAGATAATTTTTGAAGATCATATTAAAATGTAATTAAGTGACCGCCGTACTTAGCTAAAAAAATTCCTTTTTCCTTTCGAATTAATTGATATTCCCTGATGAGAAATTTCAGCATTTTTCATATTTGGCCACTATACACCAAACAGCACGATGCATATCAAACAATGCTAAATTATAACAGTAATTAAAAGCACATATGAGTCTTTAAGAATCAAAAAATGAATTTTACTGATAAGTGAAAAAAATAACTTAAATATTGAACTCGTGGAGAAATCGAGAAATTTTGTAATTGATAGTAAGTTTAAATAATTACTGGGTACGTGTCAGTTAAATGTCACGGTTGGCTTAGTATCCTGTTGACTAATGCCTTGGCAGTTAAGTGTCCCGTAGCTAAATGTCCTGGCGGCTAACTCTCTGTGTCGGCCAAATGTCCTGTCAGCTATGTGTCCTTGTTCGGCTAAATGTCCTGTTGGCTAACAGTCCGTGTCAACTAAATGTCCTGTCAACTAAGTGTCCTTGTTGGCTAACTGTCCGTCTAAATGAACTGTCGACTAAGTGTCCGTGTCGGCTAAGTGTCCTGTTGGCTAATTGGTGTCGGCTAAGTGTCACAGACCCCTATTAAATATGGCATTTCAAAACGCTGCTTCTCAATATTGAAAGTTTTTAAAGTCCACGTAAGGTATTAATTATTTTGCAAGGTAAGGTCAGCAGTGCAGCATAATGATTATTTCTGCTTTTGTTACTATTATATCTGAATAAATGGTCCTACTCCTCTGAGAACATAATTATTTCCTTTGTTATTACATGTATTAGATATAACATTTCATCATGCTTACTGAGCATGTCTTCATTTTTTTATTTGAATATATACTGTGTATTCTCATTAGTGAAATAAACTAAGGTTAAACCATTACATTCGGTTTTACTTTGGAATGTTCTTGGATATATGTAGTGTTTAGTAATGAGTAAAGACCAGATTAGAGTAAGGATAAATGTGAGGCAATTGTGGCACTTGCCTCAGGTGAATGACTAACAGGAGCATCAAATTAGCTAGGAAAATTAGAAATGCCTTTTAAAAAAGAAGTAAGATTTAACTTTCAATTTTGTAATAACAAAGGAAATAATTATGATCTCAGAGGAGTAGGACCATTTATTCAGATAATAATAGCAACAAAAGCAGAAATAATCATTACGCTGTAGTGCTGACCTTACCTTGCAAAACATCTAATACCTATCGTGGAATAAAAGCCTATAATTCCCAGTTTTCAGATACAGAGCACCAAATATGGCTCAATGTATCAGCATTCTGTGATGAGCATAGGTGATATTCTATCGTGTTCCAAACAAACTCAACCACGAGATAGTCATGTGATTATGCTGAGCATGTAAGGTTGTCAATGTTGCAGAACCATTCCTAGATGAGTGGCAGTCATTATATTATTGAAAAATAACCTAAGAATGTTATCAAATTAATGGTAATACAACAAGGTTCCAGAAGGCTGTTGATATACTGTTCCATGAGAATAGCATTGTTGACTATTGAGGGTATTAGGCTATCATTAGAAATGGCTTGATAGATATTTGCTTATTTATGAAATAAGAATAATGTTCCACAATAAAGTTTTGTGCTTTTCAACATACTTCTAATTATATAGTATAATTGACACCAGTGAAAATCATGCCTCCATTAGACAATATCCTAAGATGACCAGGACAGCTAACAGCACTTTGATCAAAGATAGAACATAAGAGTAATTTCTTGGTATGTATTTTCCTCTCCACAGTTCATCTGACAGTGGCTAGTATAAGCTTTGACATATGGCCATAGATGGTAGAAAACAATGTGGTCTAGCAAATGCTCAATCCTGACACTTTTCTTAATCTGCCTTAGCCATGCATGGTCTTGTTAGATTGTGACTTCCACATCACCCTAATACCAACATGGTTGGATTTTCACATACCTCCAATACCAGTACATGGCAATATGTGATTGGACTAATGCCCTGTATGCTTAGATCCAACATTAAGCATTCTAACAGTCTACAGGATTTCATGCAACAGGGTTTCTATGGCTCTTCCTGGCATCAGAGATGTGCTCTTAATATGTACTCATCATTATATTTTCTCAATATGCTATGACAGACCATTGATGGTTCCATATAAATGTTTAATGAAGGGTTTCTTGGGGGAGGGAGAGGGAAGGTTCTATATTTGGTTCTACAGAAAAACTTTAATTTCAATTGAATAATGTTTCTCAGAATGAATATCGAATCTTTTGCCAAAAATTATTTTTTCTTGTTCTCTTTACAATATATTTCTTTCTTTTACAGTTAATTTTGTATCAGGTAACAATAATGAGTACATGAAAAGAAATATTCTTAAAAAAAGAAGAAAAATTCTCAATCAATAACACTTTTATTCTTTATTATCTTCTTGAATTTTATGTACATCCATTTCCTTTTCTTCTTTACATATTAAATTATGAAACATAGCTGCTACCTCTTTATAAGATGCTCTATTATTAACACTTTCATTTAAAGCTGCTATCAGAACTGCCATATGCCTTTTCTTTTTAGACTTCCTATACTTCTGTGCCTAATAATAATAACAATAATAATAATAATAATAAACTTATTTTATAAAAGCAATTTTGAAATTTATACTGATATCTGCAGATTAAAAAAAATACATCATGCAAAACAAAATAAAAAACATATGAACAAAATATTAATTATACTATGAGGCTATCCTATTCAAAAATAAGTCCAAAATATGTTAACTTTCAAATAGGCTACAATTATAAGATTTTAGTTAAATAAAAATCAGACTATACTAACTGTCTATAAAGATTCATCAAAAATACTTTCTGCTATGATGTTTTCTTACAACAATTATTAAAAAATATATATTATCTGCTATTTTAAAGAAATGTGACAGCATTTTTAAAAAGATAATTTAAAATAATTCTGGTACTCCACACAAAGACTTTCTTAAAACTATGAAATCTGAAGAACATTATTAACTACTGAAGCAGATGACATTGCATGTATTTTTAAATATTAACTGTTGGGTGTAATAATTTTAATCAAAGTAGTCATAAAATAATATTTAGACACAATTTTCAAAAGTTACTGTGTGTAACATTTGCCACAATACTGAAAAATACAATATATCAAAATAAATATAATTTAATATATTAATATTTTATAACTATATTAATTTTAATGCCAGTAATATTTTTCAAAATTCAGTTTTATGTATTAACTATTGAGTATTAAGATTACAAGTCAAATAATTTCCAGAAATGTTATAAACAGTTCATAAATGAACTTTTACATAATGCTTCCTGACATTCCACTAGTAATGACTTTCACCCAGGCTCGTGCCGATAATAGGTGCAAGGTCATACCACACACAACGGCGCCGAGTCAAAAAGGCGCCAGGCAATCATTAAAATCAGCAGTTCATCTAGCTGCCTGTTTGAACAAAAGAATTCTTTTCTTATTTGAATGCCGATCCGGAGGTCGACTCAGGTAAGACGTGGGAAGCTACCGATTAGGATCTGTACTTAGGCAGTCTCGTCCACGGGTATTTAAATTCAGTCTCCACAGGACTGGAGTCATCACTAGCGATGGCTGTTTCAGGCTTGACAGTGACCATATGGTGCTCTCGTCCATTCCCCTGGTTGTGGTTGAGCTATATAATCAGATATTTATGGTTGTCTGGATCAAAACACCCCAGTCGGTGGAGTTGGTGAATTCAGCAAGCCTTTAAAATGCTTGAGGTTTCCAGTGGGTGCCTGGAGCATTCACTCCCCAACCCTTTTTCCCCTACCAACAACCTTTCGAGAGGACTTTTGCCTCGCATATTTACAGTGCCACCATGCTGCACGGACACAATGCATTTACAAACATCCATGCCTTCTTGGAGATTCGAACCCGGGCCCTTCGGCACAGCAGTCAGCAACGCTAACTACTATACCATTTGGGCAGCTTTTATAACATAAATGTATGTATAATTCTTCAATAAATATTTTTGAGTGTGAGTTTTAACAAAGCACAAAATGTTTGCATATTTAGACAAATTAAAATAAAATGTAATTTTTTTGGTTTTTCATATTATGCTAATAATGCTTCATTTTAAATGTTAACCATAGCAATGTCCCTTTAATATCGTCACTGTATAAAGGCGCTCGCTAGACATTTGCACGACGGCGCCGATTAGGTTTGGCACAGGCCTGCTTTCACCTAATTAAAATGATGTGAAATTACATATTAATATGTTTTAACTGTATCTATATTAAATCAATTAAATTCTATCACTATTTGGAAGGATAATTTTAGTCTTTATTTAATGTTATAATTTGATTAATGCCATCAAAATAGCCATGGATAAACATGATCACATTAAGAGGCACCTACTGCAGATTTTATATTTACTGATGCTGAAATTTATTTCATAAAATTCTCCATCTTATTTTCAGAATTCTAGTTATTAGAAATACATGTTCAGGACCAATATTTAAAAAAATAAAACGTGTATCCATCTTTTACAAAACATTATAAATGTGTATAAATAAATGCTACATAAGAACGTATTGTAAATTTTTTTTTATAAAAAGTTAATGAATTTCTTCCTCTCTGCTCCTGCTGTTTGAGATAATGAAAAGAAATGCTGCAGTCCTAAAATTTTGTGAGAATCTACACTCTTTTGCAAAAAAATCAAAGCACCAAGAAGGACTTTTGTGATTGTGACGAAATTTGGTATGCAGAAACATCTTGATGAAACATGCAAATGATCAAAGTTTCAAGGCAAATGAACAGGAAATGTGATCATAGCATGCATTTCTAGTGCGCAATTCACAAAGTATAAAACCAGTAACAGAGGCAGAAAATTTATCTTTTTTTGTTGCTGCCACTGTAATTCCGTAAAGAAGCAACTAAAGATCCATTACGATGATATCGAAGACCTTACACACAACTAAATGACTTCGAATGTTGTCACATTGTAGGGCTGCATGAAGCTGGCTGGTCATACTGAGCAAACAGGCCACCACCTGCTGCATACAGACACTGCTGTGCATAGATGTTGGCAGCTATGGTTGCTACAAGGAAATTGGTGATGAAATGAAGGCTCTGGAAGGCCAAGGAGCACAAATGCGAGGCAAGATAGGATGATTGTTCACCAGGCCCGAACCGCCCCAATGGTATCATTGTTGACTATTCAATGCACTACAGCCACATCTATACCTCCTGGGGTACTGTCCACCATCTCACGGTGCTTGTCTGAGGTGGGGTTACACTCACAGAGGCCTTTTGCCTTTGACCCCACAGCATCGGCAGAGTTGTCTGGAGTGGTGTCTCAGTCGATCATCATGGCTGCCATCAGACTGGCATCGTATAGTGTTCAGCAATGAATCCCACTTCACTCTTGAAGCAGATGACCACCATGTTCGTGTCTGGAGAGGATGGGGAAAGGAGTCCCAATCAACCTTTGTTTTACAAAGGCATACAGCCATAACCCCTGGTGTGATGGTGTGGGGCGCTATTTCTTATGACAGCAATCCTCTGTACCTCTTTAACAGCTCAACAATATGTTGATACAATCCTGCGGCCGCTTGCATTACCCTTCATGGCACATCATTCTGGGGCCATTTTCCAACAAGATGATGCCAGGCCAGATACCACTCGCATATCTCTGGACTGTCTCCGTGTGGTTGATATTCTTCCTTGGCCAGCAAGTTCACCAGACCTTTCACCAATCGAGAATGTCTGGGACATGGTAGGCTGACAGATTCGGGCACAACAAAATATTGCAGATCTGGAGCGACAACTGATGAATGCCTGGCAGAATGTGTCGCAGGATGACATTACGAACCTCTACTACTCCTTGCCTCGACGAATTCAAGCATGCACTGCTGCCAAGGACGGTTCGACCAACTACTAATTTGAACACTCAGTGGGTGATTGTGAGCTGTATGACTTTAATTTTTTAATCGTTTTATTATCTGTGTATGTTTTAACATATATTCAGTTTTATCCAAAAACAACCACTTCTTTCATAATTCTTCGATTTTTTTTTGCAAAAGAGTGTATTTCTGCATGAGATTCTGGATACATATCGATGAACTGCTTGCAAAATAAAACAAATGAATTGTAGAATCTGATAATCCACACACCTTGCGACCAGAAATGGTATACAGTCAAAAGTCGTTAATTCGGACACCCATAATCCGGAATGATCTATAATCCGGACCTCAAAGCTAAAATCTATCTGCGCATGTGCCGCGTTGACGCATGTGCATAGGCGTTTACGCGTGCGCACAAGACCTTTACGACTGCACATATGAGTCAGCGCAAGCGCAGAATACGTTTTCGGGCGCGCGTTTAATGTATAACGGACAGTATAAGCTAAAATTATCTAATTTTCTATTTCAGTTAATGTTGATGATTGCGTTGTTCCTTAATCTTCGAATTGGATCTGGCTTATTATTTTTTGCAGACAGTAAGAGCATTTTATAAAAGTAAGCTTGAAACTTTCGATTATGTCAAATAGAATTTCCGATGCTGCTGGGCCCCAAAGATCTAGAAAACGAAAGTATGTTTCGATGTCCATCAAACAAAAAGTGAAATTGCTACAAAAAATGGATAAAGGCATATCCTTTGTTTATCTAACCATTCCGAAATCTGTTTATCAATTTCATGCTGCTCTGCGCGGTGGGGGGGGGACATCGCGGCACGCAATGAACTGGAAGTTGATCTGTCAGCACTATCGTTATCTTCAGGGCAGATGTTTTTATTTTATTCGGTTTATAATTCCTTACTAAATGAAGTATTTCCTCTCGACGTACTCCGTCTTTGATACGATTTAAATCAAATTCCTCGTCATTATAAATATCACGAATACACATCAAATAGTTTTCTGGTTGCAATTTTCTAATTTCGACTATGCGTAATGCATGCTTTACACATGCACGCGTTGAAAGAAATGTTTAATAAAGTAAACAAACAAATATTAAGCCTTTTTTCTTGTAAATTTTGATACCCTTTAGATCATAATTGCTCTTTATTCGTAAATTACGGTTTCATATTTTTAATTTTATAATTTCTGCATGCCACTTACCAGATTTAAATTGATGATCTATAATCCAGAAAAACCGATAATCCGGAATCGCCGAAGTCTTGACGAGTCCGGATTAAAGACTTTTGACTGTATAATGCAGGATTCTCTAACATTTGGTGGCAACAGTTTGAAAAGTGAAACAGACATTTATAATGATTCAACGCAATATCGCAAAACGAAAACAATAATCCTTCAGGGACAAATAAAACTAACAAACTTAAGAGAAGAGGGTTTTCATTCATAATCCTCACTACAGTTATTATTCATTTACTCAAATCCACATGCTTATTAATTATTTATTAATAAAACTCATGGATTTAACATTTGCTTAAAACCGTGGGCTTTATAAATTAAAAATTATTAACTGAAAAGTGTCTTGCTCCCAGAATTTAATAGTTAAAGTATTCTAATTATTTTATACACACAGATTTATAATTTATAATATTACCTTTTGAAACTCATTAATAGGCATTAATACAATACACATGCAATTTGCAAGGCATGAAATTTTAAAAATGAATAAATAAATACCACTTTTTTATGCGTAGCCATGACTAGAAGGCACAGGCTCTTTAGTTCTTCGGGATCTCTTATCAGAAACCAGTTGTATTCATTAACAATCTGTAGAGAAATCATGTTAGTATTATTACATATACCATGATAAATAAACCAAACAACATAAATTTACAGTTACTGTATATATATATATATATAGTAAGAAATTTAGAAAATTAATATTTCACAAGACCAGAATTGAAATCATAATTAATAAATTTCAAATAATCAATAAATACAACAAAGAATTTTAAAATGTTAAAACCAAAACATTTCAAACAAGTAAAATGCCACTTCAAAAAATTTATGAAATTTAATGAAAAATGAATAAAAACGAATGCATGGAAATACTAGGCATGTTTGTATTTTGTTTTCAAAAGAATTGTTTTCTAATTATATATATATGTTACGGTGAAACACCGAAATCTGGAGAATGTCCACTTTCACCGGTGAATGTCAGCATTCACCTAGTCGCTTGGTGTATGTCTGAAATATTTTCCAAATACTCTTATTTCTGACTTACACCGGTAAATGTCGACATTGAATGTTGAACGTATAAGAATATTATATTTTCTTCTCCATGATTCAGTCGCAAAAAAACACACTTGAGACTTAAAATAAGAACTTAATAACATTAAACTTAAAACACACAGTACATTCAAAATGAGAAAGGAAAATAATAGAAGTTAAAAGTTACTCATTATGTGATTCAAATCTTTTATTGCACAATGTAAACTATTATGACACTTTGATTGCACAAGAGGTCCTTGTTTTTAAAACTGCATTTATTTGTGTAACATTTCCTTTAGCAATGACGCATGTACATATCCTCTCTTTTCGACCTACACCAGAGCATATCTGTGATTGTCGACACACACTGGTGAGTGTCCGAATGTATAAGAATGTAATGAAATATTCTATCTTTCACCGACATATTTGATGAATGCTGACATTCTCCAATTTCGGTCTTTCACGGTAACATATATATGTTTTCGGTCTTTCACGGTAACATATATATGTAATGATATTTTTAAATCAATTGGTTAAATTAAATTCTAATCATATTGCTTAATAATGTGTTGGTGATTCTCTACCTAAATTGCATCCCTGTTCATAAATTTTGGCAAAATCCTTTCTTTATTATAAATTATATTAACTTGTTGGCCGCCGCCAAATCGTCAAACTCATAAATCTGTCATATTACAAAGTCCTTAAGAAAACTCCTGATGAGAAGATAACATCACCTCATGATTTCAATTAATATCGCTGATTGGATGAGCACCATGACACACACATATCTATAAATAGGGCTTCTCCTCGAGGTACAGGAGGAATGCTTGTGAGAAAGGAATGCTAAAATAAACGTATCACTTTATATTCCAAAATTTGTCTCATTCTTCTTGCCCTGGTTGCACAACATAAATAATGTATGAGATTCTACATTTCACATATATATATATATAATAATAATAATAACACAATTCCGAATGCACTGATATAAGAACACTGAGATGTAATTGTGCAAAAATACTGATGGCCTAGATACTTGATGCTTAGAGCGTCCATCCAATTTGAAGAAGCAGCAGTCGAGCTGGATTAAATTCCTTTTTTATTTAAATTCCCATTTTGTGGCTACAATTACTTAGCATTCTACTTGTGCCTATTAAAAAACATTTACAATTTTTGATATTATTGCCATAGAAGCAAATATAGCAGCTAATACAAGATTGCAGTAAAGCATCTGGCCAAGAGGAAAGCACAAGCAAAAGTGATGCATCAGTTCATAGAAAGAAGAGAGGGAGACAAAAGTTTCAGATATAGTTTTGGTTTACAATTTGGTGACTGGTCAAGAGGCATCTGCATTAAGCATTACGTAAGATTGCATGATTAATTTGTTTAGACTTATGATGCTATTTCTAAGACAGAGAAAGGAAGTCCACAAATTAAATAACATTAAAAGAGATTACAGACAATTAAGCCGCCCAGACGGTATAGTGGCTAGAGGAGCCTGACTGCGATACCAAAGAGCCTGGGTTCGAATCCCAGAGAAGGCATGGTTATAACTGTCCGTCCCTTCATACAGGGTTCCTGTTCCAAAAGGCTTACATTTTTTATAACTTTGTAGCAAGAAAGCAGCAGTCTAGCTAAGCCAAAGCATGGAAAGCAAGTACGTTATGTTCCAGATGAAATCTAAAATTATCTGAGTTAGTTTTGGTTCTCAAAGTATTTTGATTGGATAGTTAATATTGTTGTAAAATTATTATTGGCTGCTTGAGTTTTAGTTCAATTTACATCACCAGAATTACATAAGAGTCATATGACATATATTTTCTCGAAATGACGCAGTGCAAATATATGTTGCTTTTTTTAGAATAGAGAAGGGAAATTAACTTACGCTGCTAATTTAATCTTTTACACATTCCTAATTTTTTTTACATATATATGTACGATATAACAAAATATGATAGCTGCTTTAATTGATGACCTCAAAATTAACGTTCTAGATTTGGTGATCTCCCCTTAAATTCATCTGTTCTTCCTAATTTGAGATTTTTTGACATTACATAACGCTGCTTGAAAAGGGTAATCAGAACTAATAACCAATCATAGCTTGTTTCTAGAATCACACCTACTCTGGTATAAAAAACCCCTGGCAGATAATTGCATTACTTTTTTTCCTAGCTTCCACCTTGCTAATAACTCCTTGCTTCGCTTCCCCGTCTAAACAGCCTGTGTCTTAATTTTTTAGAATCAATGTACATAGAAATTTATCATATTTAATTATGATTGAATAAGTGTCTGCCAAATTAATTGGATATATGTAAAAATAAAGACTGGAAATTCTTCAAGTTCGTGTTTTATTAACTTCATTTGCAAGACTTCACTCTCAGCTATGATGACTGCAATTAATTCATCTTCTATGCTTTAAAATATGAAATATATATGTGTGTGTGTGTGTGTAAGATATAATAAAATATGATGGCTACCCTAAGAAATGACTGGCAACCTTAACTGAATATTCTAAATTTGGTGTTCTCTGCCCCAAATTCATCTGCTCTTCGAAATTCAAGATCTTTCCAAGTTACATAACGTTGCTTGAAAAAAGGAACAAAATCTAAAATTAACCAATCATAGCTTAGCTGTACTTATGCACCTACTTAGTGTAAATAATGCTTCGTAAGCAACTACATCATTCTTTTTCATAACTTCTGCCATGCAAACATCTCCAAGCTGTTATGCTTTCCTGTCTAAGATGCTTACGTCATACTTTTAAAACCCATGTATATAAAAATTATTGTACTGAACCATGATTGAAAAATATCTTACCCATAAAAGGATGATTTGATGTGAAGAAAAATAAAGATGATGATTCACTAAAATTAAAATGTATATTTTAACAATATTATTAGATTATTTTCTTTTACTAATGAAGGGCCAGCAGAGTCGTAGCTAGGGTTTTGAGCACCCAGGGACAACTGATTATTTCGCGCCCCCTACTGCTTGCCAAGGATGGAAAACATTTAATTCTAAAATGTCGTAACATCAGTTTGGCGCCCCTTGGATTCTGCGCCCGGGGACAGATGCCCCCCTTGCCCCCCTCTAGCTACACCCCTGAGGGGCAACTCTTTTCAAAAGTCAATTATAGTCCGAATTGTGTGAAGATTTTTTTTTTTTTCTAATTTTCCTTATCTTTGTCCAGTATTTAATTAAAGCTTTGATTAAACTTGAAGAACTTCAGTTTTAGATAATGCAGTCTAGTACAAAACATTTCTTACAATAATTCTCTATTATTTCACAGTTTGTGATTTAAAAAAAAAAAAAAATTAATTCTTAAGATTTTCTACTTAAAATTAAATTAATTCAATTAAATGATTATTTGAACTTTAATTTTATTTAAAAAATTTTCATAAACATTTTTTTACTTTTTACATCTTTAGAAGTTTTGCAACATCTATTTTCACAACAGTAGCAGTTCACAATTTTACAATTTTTACTTTTTTACACATTTTAACAATGCCTCAAAGTTAGCAACATTTTTGGATACAAAACAGCATTGTAGTTCTAGGTAAGTTAAATTAAAACTTGCTATTTACTAGCTTTATTATTTTATTATTATTATTATTATTTTATTTTAATAGATTGTGTATAGTTTATTTAGGTTTACATGCATAATTCATTAAGGGAAGTTTTCAGTAGGCAAGAGTTTCTAAATTACTTTGGTTTCTACTTAATTGACATTTAATTAATATTCCTAGTTATTTTACTTGCTAAATTTCTCAAAATTCCTACTAGTTTAAATTTCTTTTTTAGTAATTCACAACATTTGGTTTTACTTTTGGTTTTGAATTTTACTTTTACCCTTGCCTATATGGATGACGAAACACAAATTGAGTAATTGAAGAGTTAGGTTTTTAGGCAACTTACCATTGATAAGTCTGTCTCCTGACAGCTCAACAATTATTCACTAATGCAATTTAATCTGGCCTTAGAAATTCTTTAAAAAAATTTTTGAGATTAATTTTGGAATATTATATATTTTTTCATGGTTTTAGATACGTGCACTTAATTTACATATGCTCTTAGAATTTAAATGATATTGTAAATTAATTTACATATGCTCTTAGAATTTAAATGATATTGTAAATTAATTCACAGCAATCATTAATTTTATTTTGATTTTTGTAATTTAAATTTCTTAATTAAATTTTAAACCTACAATAGAGTATGAATATGAATATGAATAGAGAATATTTGTTAAATTCAAATTTCATTCCTTGTAGCAATGACACAAGAGAATTATTTAAATTTAATTTAACTTTACTACACTGGTTATCATAAATTAAGGAAAAATCACAAAAATCATGATTACTAAAAAAGTTACATGTAGAATTTAACGAAACTTACCCACAGTATACAACACATAGTAAGGTATCAAATAACATAAAAAGAAATTACCAGACAGATATGGTAGTATAGAAATTAGCATATCTATAAAATGAACAAATCGAAGGTGTCAGTTTGCTATAGGAAAAGTACCTTCAATATGGAATATGATCGCCTCTAGAAGCAATACAGCACATACAGCGATGTGTGATGCTTTCAAATATGCGGTCTATCAGTTCCATAGAAAGCGAGAGCCATTGCTCTTGCAAAGCAGATGCAAGCACGAAAAGGGTCAGATGGGGCGGATTAAGAGCAGCTAGACGTCTCCCTAAAGCATCCCAAACGTGCTCGATAGGATTCAAGTCCGGGGATCGAGCTGGCCACTCCATGCGCATAATTGTTTTCTGTTGAAGATAATCATCTATGATGCAAGCCCTGTGTGGTCTTGCATTGTCATCCTGTAACAGGAAAGCATCACCTATTGCCCCGGCATATGGGCGCACATAAACAACAAGGATGTCATCTCTATAAATCTGAGCATTCACGGTTCCCTTTGGAAAGACATGGGGGTCTGTGCGTCCACCCAAAGAAATGCCACCCCAAACATAGACACTGTCCCTTCCGTATGCATCTCTTTCACAGATGTTTGACGGATGATAACGGGTTCTAGGTTCTCTCCATATTAAATAACGCCTACTATTGCTTTCTAGACTAAACCTGGACTCATCCGTAAAGAAAACCGCCCTCCATTGATCAGGCATCCAGTGGACATGTTGTCGTGCCCACTGAAAACTGTCCCTCCTATGGCGTGACGTGAGCAGCACACAAATGTATGGTTGCCTCGCATACGGACCACCTTCTACGCACACTTGATGTTGACATGAACTTTCCGGTGGCTGCTGATGCCTGGAGGTCATTGTTACGAATTGGCTATCTCAGATTTCTGATGTCACTGTCACAGTGAAATATGTGAGCTTGCTATCAAACATGGACTTTTATCCTCCTCACAGATGACGCATTCCGAAAACAGCGCCACTAATTTGCATATTGTAGTTTTACTCAGTTACTCTTACTTGGCAACATATTCAAATTTTACATGGTTTGGCTTATTTTTGAGGGAGTTATCGCTATTTTTGTGATTTTTCCTTAATTTATGATAACCAGTGTATATAAATATATATATATAATTTATTTACTAATGGATTATTTAGTATATTATCTCCTTTGATATAGGTAGTTAGAATTCTATTGAAATGAAGTAACTTATAAGCATATTTAAAAATTTAATCTTGAAAATTTTTTTAAAATGGAAATATCAAAAATGAATCTTGAATAAATTGAAAATAGAAACATTTAAAAAGGTATTAAAAGTGAAAATGTAATCAATAAACCAAGTAGTTATCGCCATATATATATATATATATACGTACTTCCCGAGCTGGTCTTTGATCACCATTGAATAACATGTCAAGAATATCATTAGCAGTTCCTTCAGATATGGTTCTAGATATAAGTAGCTCCAGAATTTCTGCAATTTGAGAGCCAGAGACAGGACTGCATCAAAAGACATTAAAACATTTTACTATAAAATTATTTTTCACACAATGGAAAGCATTACTTCCCAGCAAAATGGAAGCAAATGATGATTAATTTATAATTGAACAAAATACAGCAACAATAAAATTGTAAAAAAAGTATAAACAGTTAAAATGATTTATATAAAACTTGGCTTAATTACATGCAATGAGTGAGATTAGGGAAAGATTTCTTTAGGTATAAAATGGATAAACTTATGAAGCTTAACGACACAGATGTGTGGAACATTTTGCTTGAAATATACTTTATGCAAAATATATTAACTTTTCTACTCATAAATAAAGAACAGACATGTTTTGCTTATTTGCAAAGATGAGATAACAAAAGCAATGGAAAAAAGTAAAAGTTATTAATAGCTTCCCATCATAAAACAAAAAGCACAAACTTGAATTGTTGGAGGCAAGATTTATTGTCTCTTAGTTTGGATTTTTTAGAATTGTCCAAAATTTTCTTGCATACTGATCTCATAAGTGATGCAATTTTTATTCTGTTTCTGTCGAAAGCAAGGAAAAATCTATTCTGTTATCCACCTCTCTTCTTTCAACCAAGCACTAAAATTTTTACTGCATTCAACACACAAATAAAGTTGGACTGTGTTCCAAGAAAACTGCAGTCAGTGATAAATATTTGCTTATTCGTACTAATTATTATACTAAACTATCTCATTTATTTATTATAAAACTGCTATTATGATGCAGTTGAACTGTTTAAAATTAAGATTAATACAGCAGTAAATAATTGCAACTGTAGCATTTTAAAACTGTTTTTACCCTGCACTAAATAATACAATTTATACCTACAATATATGGTAAATGTGTATTTTTTTATTTCTGGAGTTTTACTTATTTAGTGTCATACAGCAGTAGTGACTTGCTCTTCAGTAATATAGAAATATGCATCAAGATTAAATTTTACAAATGCTAACTGCCAATTTTGAAATGGTTGTTAAAACCTTATTTACATAATTATTCTGCTACGCTACCTATATTTTTACTTTTTAGTCAATATTATACAGTGTTCCTGAAAATAGATGAATTGACAGCAAAGTATACGAAATAAAAAATTTATACAGTTTGATCATTTTACAATTACTTCTTTAAATTACTCTCCAAATTAGCTTATAAAATTATGATAATGGTTCATTAAAACTGATTTACAAAGATTTAGAAAGACTCTCAAATACAAATGTCATTCTCAAATATTTATATGTATAGGTTATAACTAGCTTGTATTTAAATATTCTTCAATACAAACACACATTATAAACTGAATATTAAATTAATAAATACTATCAATGTCATGCAAAATGCTGTGAATAAAGTACATATATTTTTTTTTAAAAAATAACATATATTTTTGAAGAACTAATAAAAAAAGTAACAGGGTTTTTTTTAATAGCTAAAAATTGTCTTTACCAGTCTTTAAAACTTAAATTTCTGAGGTTAAACTGGTGTTGGACATTACTAAATAAGAAATCACATATAGTCATGAGGTCACTTTCTGAATAGTCTGAAGCACAGATTTCAAACATTTCTTGTGCACCTTCATTACTCTTAAAGAGAAAAAATACAATTATAATGTAACGTTTAATAAAAAAAATCATTTGTAAAAGAGTGTTTAAATTATCACTGATATAAAGAAGCAATAAATAGTTACACAAAGTAAAGTATGCATATATAAGTCAAGAGTTCAAACAGAGCATTTCAAAAAATAGAAAATTATTTTTTAATTAATTCATTATGTACATTAAAATAATTAATTTATTTTCATACTTGGCAGTAAAATAAAATCAAAACTGAATTTCCTTTATACATAAATAAAATAAAATAAATTTCAGAACAAGTGAAAAATTTCCAGTTTTAGTAAGAAACATTCAGATAGCATTAATTATTGAAACTCTGCTGTTTGACTGATTTAAACACTGCTTAGCTGCCTTTTTATTTTTTAACAAGGCATTCTGGTGTAATATAGAACATCATTTTGTTTTGGAGTACTATTTTGAATATTTACACCAGGTAATTAACATTACATACCTTAGAAAGTTTAAATACGTTCTAAGTCTACTTTTAAGTAAAAGAGTCTATTTAAGACTAATTAAAACCAAAAAGAATTAAGCATCTTCAGACAGACAAGTGGTCTATTAGTTTTAGGAGCAGATAATTTTGAGCAAGAGCTTATACTCAAAGGTATGCAAACACTTTTGCATTATAATGATGGAAATTAGAATTATTAATTAAAACTAATGGAATTTATGGAAGGCTCTAGGAAATCTGACTCAACAATTAAAAGAAGCTTCCTGAATAAGAAGGGATTAAAATAATAATGATTCAAAAGCCGATAATATTAATCATTGGAAGGTTCATTATTTCCTCTTCTGATTTTAGTTCTTTAAATCAAAATTTTAATTTTTTAATTGATTCAATGAAGAAGGTAAGTTTCTCAGATTTAAGAGTACCACTGCATCATAACGGAAAGAAGGAAGTAATGTAATTATCAGCAATGGAAAAAAAATTACAAATTTTCAGGAACAACACAGATTCTCCATGTTTAATCATTAGGACATAGCAAATATCTATTCTATATTTTAGTTTGGCTCACTTTATTACAAAAGGTACCTGTTTCAGCCAAAACAGTCAGGAAGCAATGGTACTGAAACTGAGAAAAAGTTTGCCACAAATACTTGGATCCAAATAAAACCCAACAAGAGGGAGGGGGAAAAACATTTGAGGCTAATTCAAATTATTGGGCAGCAAGAAAGGATGTCATTGGTTCTCAGCAGCTACATGGCCAATCTACCTATTGGGTAATTTCTCACCAAGAGTGACTTTGAAAATAAGACACACTGGTCTGAGATTCAGTTAAAAAGAAACAATGTGTTACCATGGAGCAATCATTTGACTTGATAAGGTTGCTTCAACAACAGTGAAGCAAATAGTAATCACATTACACAACAGAATCTGCCATACTATAATGAATAGATATATTGATAAGCTTATCAGGACTAGTGTTTCTTTTGACTTGCTTTGGAATCATGACTGGTCCTGAATAGGAACAGGGAGCTTACTCAAGCTATGTTCAAGAATGTGTAAAGTAGACAATACAAGCAGAAAGGGTATATGAAACCCTTTATTTTCTATACTTTACAGGAATTTCCGAAACTTCGGAATACAGAGACCAACCACTTGTGGTCTGAACGTAAGAATATAAAAACTACTAACTAAAACTAACTTTGAATTAGTATACAAGTGCCTAACACTAAGATTGGCCTTTATTTAAAGAAAGGTACGTATGTAGAGTACGCCGAGCTGCTAAAACTACGATGCGTCTGCAATTATCAAGAGGGCTAAACTTCTGACCTTGAAGGCAACCAGCAACAGAGTGAAAACTCGTAAAACTACAATGGCAAGCGGCTTGCTTCCAATAACTCCTTCTCTCTCTCTTGCTTGGCAAAAAGCCACAACTTAAGTACTTGGCGTTAGCAAGACAATTTGCATAAATAAGATAAAGCGTTTAATTCTGGCTGGAAGTAGAAAATAAGAAGTGATAGTACAGTTTTAAAATAAAATAAACGTTAGTAAAACTTAGGATCCTTACAAGCTCGTTAGAAAAACTTTAAACAATTTATATTTTAACATTATTGGCTATGTTAAATGCTTTTTATTTTGATGTTTTTTTTTTTGTTTGTTTTTGTTTTTAAATGGCAGATTGTGAACAATTACAAATGTAACCCAGTCCATTAATCTATACAAGGCCATATGTGGTGGTCTCTTTATTATGGAGGCACCTAATAGGTGGGCCACCATCGCCTTTCCTATGAAGGAAAGGACAGTTACAACCATGCCTTCTCCGGGACTCGAATCCAGGCCCTTCGGCATCGCAGTCAGCTTCCCTGACCACCATACTGACTGGGCGGCTCTATCTTGATGTAGTGGAACACAGAATATTGTACGAATTTTCCAAGTACACAGAGCTGGGAGAAAAACTTAAGAACTGAAGTACAGATTGCACTATTTGAAAAAAAAAATAACCTAGTATTTTTTACCACAGATACTAATGTGACGATACATGTGCAATAAAAATAATCAAAGCTAGACTATTATACTAAACATAGAATCATTTGTTCCAGAGGACAAATGGCAAATAAATGTTGTTTGGCCAGACACTAAATTGGAAAGAATTATAGCATTAATTAAAGTAAGAATATTTGTATGTTTTGCTAATCTAATTTTAGGTTACAGTTTGACAAAAAACTTTGCTTTGATATTTAGAGTGCTTACTTAACAAATACTTAACTTACATAAACTATACAATAAAAATACTTGGATACTTGTAGAATAAAATTATAGTTCATATAAATGCCTGTCTGGAAAAACATCATGAAATAGAACTTCTTTTGGCTGCAGTGTCAGTTGCCACCTTATCAGAAAAGCTAACCACTAAATTTGATATTGTGCAGTTGGAATATTTCTCCACTCTCGCAGCAGTCGGTTCTCACAATAGTTTTAGCGAAATGGCCAGGCTCACAAATGACATTCTAGTTTATCCTATAAATATTTTTTAGGATTAAGACTGGGGTTCTGAGCTGAGCAATCTATTTCATAAAACAATATGTTACAGCATGTTCAGTATGGATAGAAGGCTGATAATATTCACCCAGAAAGGGTCCCACACAAAAGTGTTACCATAGCATAAATGTTGGCAAATCATCTAAAATTAAATTAGGCCTCCATGCTAATATTTCTTTTTACAGGAACTATAGGTTCAAAGTCAAACTAAAACAAATAAGATCATACTATATTGCTTCCTCCATCAAATTCTAGTGGAAATAAAGCTCTTTTGTAAATGGTCTTCATCTACCATTCTCCAAGCTCAATATGGTCATCAGATTTACAAACACTGTACCAGAAAGTCATTGCTCTGCATAACTTATCATCATTGCTCCAAGTCCAGTTTGCCATGATAAATGACAGTTGACATTAGCTGTGCAAAAGTACAACTTACAGACAGCTATTATCCCATTAAAAGCTGAATTTTGCAACTCTTGATGAATTGTTAGTGTGCTGATTTTAGATACAAAAAAAGCACTACAGAGTTTTTCTGGAGTATTTTCAGTTGATTTCAAGTAGGTTTTGTTTCATTACTCTACAAATAATTATGTGGCTCCTGTCTTTCAAACTATAAGGTAGATCTGACCTTTCATAAACAGATGCAAGTGCTGAAGATTTCCATTTTGCAATATCGTTCAGTTGTTAAATGCGCCACCATTAGCGCTGCCAAAATTTCAAGAACAGGCTCTCTACAGTTCAGGTAATTGATTATTCTCTTTTTCAAACTTACTCAGTTGAAGTTTTCCACCCATTTCATGTTTTAAGGTTTGCTATGCTGCTTTTAAACATGACTATTTGCTTTTGTCATTTGATGAATCTGATACTACTCATTAAGATACTTTTGATTATAGAACTACATTAAAGGCATCTTTACAAAACTTTGCCAATAAAATATTCTGAGTGCACTCTTATTTCATTTACTGAACTAAATCTTTTATTGTAAAACTAGTACTTCAATGAAAAAAACAGATGATTATCACATGGAGCAATATTCCAGAGAGCACAGATGATAAGGCAGAATATCCTAATAAAATGTTAACAATTTGTTTCTAATGCCTAAAATTATATGAGGTCTGATATTAATGCATTAACGGATGACGCCTTGTCTGTTCATTTATGCTAGATCATTGCTTCTTTTAATTTGTCCAGCTGGAAGCAGCATTTCATTGAATTAATTATTTCACTTTCTGGAAGAATTTCATAAATAATTAATCCAATAAAATCAACATTAAAACCTTTTTTTAGGTATCAACTGCTTTTGCTATTGTTGAAATCTTATTATGGGTGAATCAAAAATATTTATAGCTAACAGTCTCATTAAAGATCTAAAATTTATTTGAAGCAATTAATTTTTTTCAAAAAATGGTTTTCTTTCAGGCTAACAAAGAAATAAATTACATATGTAAACGATGCTAAGGAAAAGGCACTCTGTTAAATGATGCACAGTCCACAGAGTGATTAATGCAGTTAAGCTTCATCAGATGACTGTATTGTTGTTCAAGAAATATTTAAAGCATTCATAGTTCATAAACAAAGTAGCACAGATTTTCCTTATAACCTTGATGAGATTGTATTTGTAGTGGATGAGCAACTACCGGATTTTCATCTACTATCTTTGAACATCTTAATCTAAATGTGAACTGTTTAAATTCATTCATCATTCTCAACAAAAGTTCAAATCCCATTTGCTATGCAACTTGCATTGCTGACTTTTTGAAACAGTTGTTCATATATGGGGTCTTTCCGTAGTTCTAGGACTTGATCTTAAGTTCAAGTTTGGAAATGCTATCAGCCAGAGACAAGTCTTGACATGTTTATGCAGCTATCCTGTGCAATATTGTTTAGTCCTATTCAGTTGTTTGATTGAAACAGGCACATTTTTTGTAGCACTGTTTTTGCAATGTGGAAGATGCAAACAACATTCATTTTCTTCTTGCAGAAAGAGAGTGTGAAAACTTCAGAAATGGTTCAATGTCTGTGAAGAATATTCTGTTCCCACATTTGTAAAAACCTTTATGGTGTGTTCAGTTTGAGAGTTTAACCATGCCATAAATAGATGGATTACAGGAATAAGTGTATTGATGAAAATTTGTGAAATAAAAAAACAATACCTAAATTCCTAGTACTCTGGAAATATCCCTTGTATTTAAAGGCATATGTGTCTGTTTCTTAAATGTAAATAACATACATTCTATGATAACTAGACATTGATTAAAAGATGACAATAATTTCTAAGAGACAATATTGCAAGTTTATATAAACACACCAAATAAACCATGTGTGTCACAAAAACAAAAACTTTGGGCCAACCTAATATTTTAAGTATTCATGAAAATATTTGTAATGGTCATAATGAACCTATGGCAGGAATTTTATAGTGGCTAGAGGGAACTCTTTTCCCTACTTCTGTGAGTCCACACAGCAGAATGGGATGTGAAGTCTTCTTTACCTGAGAGCATTAAGCGCTTGTTTAAATACTTATTTTGAATTTTGAATAAGAAAACTTCAATTGATTGAAAAACTTTACACACATTTCAACAAAACTAATTAAGAGAACAAAAATAAATACTGACTGTTTAGATGATAACCTAAAACTTTCTAGGATTGAAAGAAACAAAACTTTAATTGAGAGTATGAGATGGTAACTGAACATTATTTTATTCAGTGTAATTAATTTTGTTTGGCAAAACATATCTCCATACATTTCACATAATTATTGTAAATATGTTAATTTCAGATTTTAAGGAAATCATATTTTTCAGTAAATACAATTGAACATATTTGCAAATCAGCACATACAATCGAAATTTTAGTGAATACAATTGAATTGGGCAAACTTTTTATACTACTTTAAAATTTTAGATGTTTATAGTACCTTTGCCTTACTAAAATTTCTGCTACAAATATTGGAAATTTGATGTCCTTTACACTTTAAAAAACATAATAATATTTAATAGGCAAAAGACAAAGAAAAAACACTCTACCACTAATTTATCTATGGCATCCAATGGCAAGTTATATTTTTTTCTTAAATTACAACGTTCAGCATCTGGAAGAACAGGCAATTTCTTTTTGAGTTCATTAATATTTATTACACTAGATTCGTCTTCTGTTGTGCAAACAAATTCAGAATCATCACAAATTTTAATAGGTGGTAAGTTAGGTTCTGGCATAAAGCGATAGTCTTGAAATGTCCCTTTGTCTCTCATATAAACCGTTTTCCTAGAGATATTTAAAACAAAATTAATTAATAATAGTAATAATAAAAAATCTTGCTTTTAAATAAACTTAAATAATTTTACCATATTTACTCTTCAGTAATAAGCACAAAAATGGAACTGAACCTTTAAAATACAGAACTTTATTCTGCATTACAACTATATCTGAAAATGGATTCTTTAAATACGTTTTCTGTAATGAACAAATAAAAATGAAAGAAGAAAGAAAAGAAGAAAGAGAAAAGATGCATAAAAAAATAAATATTTTTATTTCTGTAAACGCCATCCAATTTTTATCATCAGATAAACATGTCCAGATACTAAAATCTATTACTGCTGTAGCCTTTCTTTCCTAATTTTTTTATTAGGAAGCATTTTTGTCCCCTAACCAAAAACATTTAAATCAAAACAATGGAAAAAAAACGAAATTCTGAAAAGTTGCAATAATTAAATTAGAACAACATATATAATTATGAGCTAACAAGAAACACTGCATTATAGTAGTACCTTACCAAGATATTATTACAGAAACTGTATGATAGGGATAATAGCCCTTAGCTTTAACCTGCTGCTGGTACTTTTCAACAAGAGCTATAACTAATTAGAAATCTGGAATGTTGGATATTACAGATATGGTTGTCCCCCTATACCTGTAATTTTATACATACACAGTTTATAATGAAACAAAAAGGGGGGTTCTGGTTAAGTTCCTTGCTGCTCCAAAATTCCCTTTGAGTGATAATCAGTTGTAACTTGATAAAATATAGCAGTTCAAATGTGATGTTGAACTTGTTGTTGATGTCATCTAAGAGTAATCATGACCATGAGTGACTGCTTTTACATTACAGTAACCAAATATGCAAGATGAATATGGTCACAGAACTTAATAAGTATTTTCAGTTCAGAAGTCCATCTTCAGATTCATGGTTTTTCCCATACACATTTTGCTTTTTAGCTATATATATAATGATAGCGGTTAAAGATCAATGGTCAGAGAGTACTGAAGTATTGAATCCATTCTTTGTTTACATGCCCACACCTCTCTGTTAAATTTGCCTCCACACTATTTCTAGCATTCTTCCTAATTTCATTAGTGCTGCATTAACTATATATTATTTTCATGGCTTTGTTGGAAAAAGAATGATTTTTATTTCTGTCATCTCTTGAAACAATGCACTGAACTGCACAGGGCAGAAATTGCATTTCTTCATTTCTCACTTATCTTTCTTAGATAAAGCTAAAAAAGCAGAATCTCTTACTTTCATATATGTATGAGAAACAGAGCAAGTACACTACAATATATTGTATATTTTACGGGTTAATTTACACATAAAATATCTAGAAAAACATTATACTGCAACCTTATTTCGTTGAAATTAGAAACTGACGTGAAATCACTAATGCCTATTAAAAGGCTAAAACAGTTTTTTCCACTCCTCAAACAACTTTACATTTGCAGTCTTTAAACAAATTATTACGGCAAATAATATTACACTGTCATAAAACCTATGCTTTAAGTGTCAAACTGGCAGTAAGCCTCTGCTAACCATATGCTAAAAGAAACTGGACAAGAATTAGCAGAAGGACTGCTAGTCATATCAGTAGTATTAATATGATTTATATCATCACATAATATACAACCATCTATATTATGATAATCATATTTTTAAAAAGTTCATAACAAAACATAATTTCTATTTTAAAAATAATTTTTTTAAAGAATGCAATAAAAATGAAAATTGGATTGTATTAGAAGAAAATTTAAAGCACAAACATAGAATGATAAATTAATTTGTCTTGATAGAAAAACAAACTTTTCATCATAGTCATATGCTCTTGTTTCATTTGCAACAAAGCCACCATCTTCCAATACTCCAATCTGCCTGTTTATTTCATAATCTAAACAACAGACAGAAATAAAAATAGAAAACATGCAAAATATCGAATTGTTCACCAGTCATATGTATACTCAAATAACTAATATTAAATTACCTATTGCTCTTGATATAAACCTTACACTGTTGATGTTTTTCACTTCTGTTTTCACTCCCAATGGTTCTCCAACCCAATTTACAGATATATTTGCATCCACTCGAAAAGTGCCCTCTAAATATAAATAGTAAGTTGAATGAATATAATGTAAGTTGAATGAATAGTAAATTGAATGAACATAAATAGTAAGTTAAATGATATTAGTATTACATGATGTCTTTAAAAGTTATTATGTTGCTTTTATTCAAACCTTGATCATAGACATATACTTTCAGTTACAAAAATCCTTAGATTAGAAAAAATATTAAAATCATGGTATTTTTAAATTTTAAAAACCAATTTTGATAAAATTATGAAATCTAGCTTTTTATACAGCTTTCTGTTTCCTATAGTTATATTTATTAAACGTTTACTCACTCTAGGAAAAAAAAAAAAAAAAAAAAAAAAACCTGTATGACAATTTCCCCCTCCTACCCCATTGGCAGGTACTTAGCCAACTTAGGCTTGGCCACTACTAAACCCAAAAGTGGTGGCCACTTTATTGTGGAAGCACCTAACAGGCAGGCCCCCATTATATCCTATAGCAGGATGGACAACTACAGCCATGCCTTCTTTGGTATTCCAACCCCAGCCCTTCAATATTGCTGTAGGCTCCCCTATCTACTATTACCATCTGGGCAGCTGTATGATTGATCAACATATTTAATTTAAAAGTTTGGGATAATGTTCAAGGGTCATGCACAAATTGAAAAGTGAAGAATGTAGACTTGTTTTTAACTAAAAATGAAAACATCAGTTAAAAAAGGTTTCTGATATTAGTAGATTAAGTAAACAGCATTGATTTGCAAACTGACATGAAGCATTTTGATTAATATATTTCCTTTCCAAAATGAAGATATTCACTGAATCTGATAAAAATCTGTATTCTAGGAAACAGCGGCAGGCTAGAAAACAGTGGCTTGCACTTTTCTGAATGTTATAAATTGGCTACATGCCATAATGTTGGCATATAGCTAATTTGTAACATTATCAGGTTCAATGTTCCGTCTTACTTGCTTTGGGAACATGCAAAGACCCTGACTCAGAACAGGGAGCTTACTAAAGCTATGTTCAATAAATGTGGGAAGTAGACAGGATACACAGGAAGGGTATACAAAACCCTTTATTTTTCACTCTTTACAATAATTTCCGTACTTCGGAATACAGAGACCAACTACTTGTGGTCTGAACGTAAGAATATAAAAATATTTAACTAAACTCTAACTTAACTTTGGAATAATAAACAAGGAAGATTGGCCGTATATTAACAGGAACCGTATGTAGTACAGAGAACTGTTAACACTACAATACGTTTAAAATTATCACGAGGATTAAACCTCTGGCCTGGAAGGCAAACAGCAACTGAGTAAAACTTCTAAGGCAAGCGGCCTGCTTCGACTAACTCCTTCCTCTCTCTCGCTTGGCAAAAAGCCACAACTTAAGTACTTGGCGTTCGCCAGACAAATTTCGCATAAATAAGTTAACGCTTTTAATTCTGGCCGGAAGTAGAAAATAAGAAGTGATAGTAAAGATTTAAAATAAAATAAACGTTAGTAAAACTTAAGATCCTTACAACATTACTTGCATAAATTAAAAGTAATGAATATTTTTAGTCCATGATTTGAGGGGTACAACTACTAGAGCATAATTTTAAAATAATAAATTGTATGTGAATACCAGCATTTAAAAACTTATAACATTTTTGTGTGAAAATGATTTAATTTAGCAAATGTTATACAATTATAAATTAAAGAATGTTACAGAAAATGAAATGAGAACAAAAATGAAACAGAAATATTAACTTTGAATATTCTAATTTTTTTTAACCAATCTCTCATGAAAAGCAAAACGACAGTAAAAATTCCAAATTTTGAAATTAAATATTTCAGTTGATTTTTGTTGTTTGGGAATCAAACCTTTTGTGTTTTATTTTTTAATAATTCATATAAATGATTCCTAAATATAAATACAGGCATTGAAAGCTACAAAATTTACTTTTTAAATTTAAAATGTCAAAACAAAAATTTGCGTCACTTAAAACATTTTTGTAATTGAATATATGTATTGAGTATATAGCTACAACCAACAGCTGCAAAAATAAAGACCATAAAAATTATCGGTACTATTCAGTTTTGAGGGCCGTAAAAAAATTGCAGCGAAAATGTATGCGCAAAAGCGCCAAATCTAGGGTACGCGTTGATTTCAGATTGCGTAAGTTTATATAGTTCTATATTTCTTTCAGACGCCATTGACATACTAGTTTAATTTTTAAATCCTTTTTTGATATTCTATGGATTTAACAATTTGGGAATTGCCCATGACGAAAAGTTGGCAATAGGATTTTGGGTAAAGTGCAGAATCACCCACTGCTTGATGCGTTTTTAAGAATTGTATATACTCGGTATCCATGTGCACATCGACCTATTTTCACTTTAAAAAAAAATCCTAGAATTGCACAAAAATGGCACTGCGCACACCCTTGACACTACCTATGTACACATCGACCTATTTTCACTTGAAAAGTAAAAGAAAATTGACAAAAATCAAATTGTTTTTACCCTTGTAAAAAGCAGCAAACAAATAAGTGAAAGATTCTGCACTTTATCGAGAATTTTTTTAAAGAAAAGGCATCATTTATTATAGAAAACTCCATTTGAACAACCAACGAGATGAAATTATGCTTTAGTGACAAGTCGGTAGCGAAATAGCGATGCAGGCATACATTCAGTTACGTTTAGCAATTTTTATATAAATTATAATAATGATCTGAAATAGTTATTTACTCTTATGCTTCCATTCAGTCATGTTTAGCCTTTTTCACATAAATTATAACAATAAAAAAGTATTATATGAAATTAAGCTTTCATCTAAATTAAAACATCAATCTTAGATAGTTATTTATTATTATACTTCCTTTCTTGCCGCAATTACAGAATTCTGTATTAGGGTTGCCGCAATAATTTTTGGCTGCATTGGCATCAACAATAGTTTGGTGATTTTTTACGGCCCTCGAAACCGAATAGTACCAAATTATCTTTATGAACATGGTGTATATACATTGTATTCACAACATTTTTAGTTACATGCACAAATGCAAATATGTCACTCTTCAATTTATATACAACTCCTAAATATGATCTCGAGTTTAAAAATTAAATATCTTATTTTTTTTAACAGAGGTCAAACATTTTGCCATCTGCATTCAAAAATGTGATAATATGAATATTATCTTTATTTAAAGCATTTTTATAATTGGAAGTATATCTCTAGAACCTCTAGTTGGAGAAATAAAGGTTACATTAAAACTTTTACAGATACAGTACACATACAGTGATTCTAAAATATCTGGAAAAAAAGCAAAGGCAGACAGAGGGAACCAAAATATATAGATTTTGTAATGGAATGTGTGTGCAAAAATGTAAATAGGATAAGTTCTAGTTGCTAAGTCTAATTACAAAACCAAAAATAGCAACAATTTCTAAAAAAGCATTAGAAACTTTTACACATGAAATTCAAATATTAATTCTAAGCCTACAGCCTGTCAGATACAAGGAAAAGGAGCCATGTGTTTTTCTAAATTACATTTTATTTAATACATAAGATGATACTTATAATACAATAAATGGCTCTACTCTTATATGCGCCCTGAGATCACCAAATGTTGCAATATGTGTTCTGCGCTGGTGTTTGAAGCGATTAAGTGTTGTATGGCAACCCTTTTGACGTTAAAACTCTTTTGCTGGAGTGGTTCAAATGGTTGTTGGTTCGTGTTGTGCGTGTTTTGAAATGGCCTATGTTGCAACGAGAGATGTGGTTGAAAGAGGGTCTGGGAGATTATTTTTAGTGGCTGTGCATGATAGAAGGAAGGAAATGCTGATGCAGTGTATTAAAGAGGGGATTGAGCCTTATACAACTATTTTTTCGGATGGCTGGAAATCTTACAAGGATTTGGAAAAAGAAGGTTTTGAACATTTATTTGTGAACTATAGTATGAATTTTGTGGATAGCGAGTCTGGCTGTCATATAAATACCATAGAGAATATGTGGCGGCATGTTAAAGTTACGTTCTGCTGTCCGAAGAAGCATCCATTACGGTAAGTGCATTTTATTTTATTGTTTTTATTTTTTAGAATGTTATGTTCATTGTTTTTTAACTATGAATTTCTGTTGTTATTAATGTTTTTTGAATTACTTGTAATTTATTTTAGTTTATTTTGTTGATTTGTGCACAATAACTAGATTGTGCAATTCGATGTTTTTTTAAGTTTAAACAGAATGCTGTGTACATGGTACTCTTTGCAATTTATTGTTATGTTAATTTATTAAAGCGAAGTGTGCGTAGTTCATAGATTGCTTCACTGGCTAGATTGTGAGCAATTCGTAGATTTTTTTTTTAAGTTAAAACATATCGCTGTGTACATTGATTCTTGTCAAATATTTTTGGTTAGAAACTTTACGTTTTTGCTATGTAATTTTTTTGTTTTTGTTTCGGATTTTAGCTTAAATTGTGTGTTCAAAATGTGGTTTTTGCATGTGCGAAAACTGCGTTTTTGGAAACACTTTAGGCTTAAAATTTGAAATGTAGACAAAATTTTAGATAGTAATATGGCACCGTGGAGTTTCTCGCCAAAAATATTTGGCGAGAAATTTGTCGCCAAGCGAAGGCATATATAAGAGTAGTTCCCAATAAATAATACATAGAACTAGGTGAAATATCACGACATTGAACAGGAGCCAAATTAAAAAGAGTAGTAGAAGTATTATAGTAAATAACTCTTAATAACTTAAACAGCAAAATATTAATATATAAATGACCATTTTTTTTCCTAGATATAGTGTACAAATAATCTAATTAACAGAAAGTAGACAACCTTCCAATTCACATGTACAAGTACCAAGTCTGCTTAGAATTAGGATAAGCTCTTTAACTAAAGATGCAGCTTCCAACCCATTTTTGAGAGTTGGGCTAAATACAAGTTCCATGAGTCCTATACCTGTTTAATAATGAAAAAAATAAATAATTCATTTTGTTGATTCTAAAAACATTGTAGACAAAAAATTTAGGTAGTAATATGGCAGTATAAAACTTGTTCAGTATAAAACTGAAAACATCGCAACTATAACACAACATAAAACAATCAATTTGGTGAGATTAGTTACACGATCACATACATGTGAATAATAATACATGTGAAATGTCTTCTTAACTTTTCTCTGTAGATCATTTCTCAGATTATCACATCAGTTTCCTATAATACTTGTCATTTATAGATTATATAACATTGCCTTACAAAGCTCAGTACTTGAAACAATTTCATGTATCAATATACGTGAAATACCTTTTTCAGTATATTCTCTATTAAAGATCTCTTCAATAAAATAAATATTCTTTTAGATCAATCATAGAAAATTATATATATATATGTGTGTGTGTGTGCATCTTTCAATTATGACCATAAATCATAAATAAAAACAAAGCACTGAAAAAGTTACATTGTTTACAATAATATTTGTGATAGAAACTGTTACCAGTTTGTAACTTTCAAGAAGATGGTTTCTACACTATGTAGTCACAAGTGAGGGATGTTATGTTTATTATTTACAACCAGAAACTAAATGAGCTAATAAGAAGAGGCACCATTCCACATCATCTAAGCTCCTTACAATTTGGTTGGTAAAGATCTTGATACTCATTCTGCTCTAGCACTATAAAAGTCCAATTCATCAACATTACAAGTTCAAAGCTGACTGTCAATTGCAATGTAATCTCTACTTCAGAACTTTGTGGAACTTGCAATGTGGTAAAATATCACAGTTTAAACAAAAGTTACTGTTAAAGTACTGAAAAATTAAGGTAATTTTGCAGCATGGTTAATATGCATCCATACAGCTCATACAATAACAGAAAATAAGGACTTGTTAAGTTAGTTACACAACCTTCATACCAGATTTCCATGTAATTATAAGCTGCGTGTTCATTCAATTTTGCATAATATTATAGTGCTCTCTCAGTAAAGCATTTGCTGACAAGAAATTCAATTCAGGCCATGAAATAAAGAAGAGAGCATTTCCTCTCCTGGGAAAAAAAAAAAAAAAAAAAAGCTTGCATTCAATCAGAGAACTTTTTTTCCTAATCCAGGTCTCTAATAAAGCAATCTCACACTTGTGCTGAAACCTTACAATAATAATGTTGACAAGTCGTGAATTGTTGTTGTTTCTTATGGCTTCAATTGGAAATCAATCCATTTACATAAGGCTACTTGCCACAAACAAAACATTAAATTCAAAATTATATCATGAAAAAATTAAAAATTTCAGCACTAAAATTAAAAGTCTTTACAATACCAAAAGATTAAATTTCACATTTAAAATATTAACAAAAATCCTAAGTGATTTGAGGTGAAACAACCACGTGTTCAGGGTATAAGATCCCTGGCCACCCAATACAGCTAGAGAGCAACACCACTTTGTTGCAACTTAGGGTCAAGATCCAGATAAACGAGCAAGTGCTGCTTATTCAAAGTGCCTGTTTTTCAAATAGGGCATTGAACAACAGTCAGCATGCCTATTCTGCTAAGATGTTCAGCTAAGCAGCTAAGCACTGGGACCCTGTACCCAGTCTGCTTGCTCTACGTGGTCTGTGATTGAACTCATTCCAGTCATTCCTGATATTCTCGCAGAGTTTACCCTTCGATTTAATTGAGAGTTAGTCACAAAATGTTTTCAGTTACATTTGTGAATATTTTATAATACAAAATATACCATATATCTGAATCAAGAGGATTGGGTTCATGCAATAAATTTGTTCTAATTCCATTATATTCACTTAATAATCAGTTTTCAGTGAAAAGCAATTGTTTCAAACAACCCATTATGTTACTTAATTTAACTAAATACAAATTTATTATCATGTATTTTATTTTGACAATAAATTATACCTTTCAGAATAAAAAAATATAAAAAATGCATAAATGTTTCTATTTTTTAAAGTATGATCAACTTTCAATAAATTCTAATAGTTAATCATCAGGATAATCAAGGAGTTATTTTAGTTCCATAAAGCAATATTAACAAACTGGGAAGTATTTGGACTTTGATCTAGTTGAATACAGAGAGAAGTGTACCACACACTCAATGAAGGTATATAATTATGCTATTAAATCTACAATTATCAACTGATGAAAGTAACCATAAAAGAACTGTTGAACAACATTTTGTCGATCTGACTTCCTAAATAGAAGTATAGCAAACACAGTTGGAATAAAGGTGAGACAAGTGAAGCATTTGCCTCAGGTGAAAGGGGTGGGAAGCTGCAAAAACGCCTTTTAAAAATTATAATTGTTAACTTTCAATTTTGATATGTATTACGAATTATTATTTAGAAATAGCACATTTAAAACAATGAAAAAAGCCCTGTATTCCTCGACATTTTCATATTTGCATGCTTTTTCTTAATAAATTAGCCAAACCAAATCGAAAACTTGACGATAGAAAAATCATTATGATGCATTTTATATAATTTTCAGCTCATTATTATTACTTTATACAAATTCCAAATTTATATAAGACTTATCATTTGATAATGATGTCACTGTAATGAATTGAAAATAATAACCTCTTTAAACAAATTCATTTATAATTTTACATATGTCTACATGGAATTTAATACTGAAATTTAAAAAATGGAATATAAAATCTTGCAATGAAACATTTAAAAAAAAAAAACAAAATTTGCACATTTAATAGACAGATTGAACCCCATTGAATAGGTTGGCTGCATGTATGGTTTCATCATTTCCTCTCATGTAAAGTATGAGCCAGTTTCCTCTAAAATGTCCTCCATGATATCACTTTTAAACAAATAGTTTTTGTATGCTTTGCATATTAAACTAAATGAACATCATAATATAAGGAATATCTCTTTCTTTACAGAAAATGACAGAAATGTGAAAACTTAGCTTTATATAAGTGAATGATTAACAGAACCTGACGAGAAGTGAAAAAAAAATAGGTTAAAAAATCAAATTGTCAAGAATCATTTGATAAAAGGCAAATTTTGTCAACAAAATATTTTTCACAGTAGAAATGAGACATATTTTAATCTCAAAATTAAAACAGAAGTATAAAAAATAAACAAAATAGTTTGAAATTTTCAGATTCATACTGGAAAAAAAATTAATGTCACTGGATTTAAGCATTTTAAAAAAAAAGCAGCTTTTAAATTATAAATGATATATATGCTTCAGATGTCCATCAATAATACCTAGTTTTAAAAACCACTTGGTTTAATCCTAGTATTCGGCGCACACGGGATTTGGCTACTTTTGGCGACTTTTATGATGAGCAGTAAAAACGGGACATATACGATGAGTAGTAAACGGGTATTCAAAGAATAGATATAGTTATACATAATATATAGTGGTTTAATCCTAGTATCCGGTGCACACGGGATTTGGAGACTTTATGATGAGCAGTAAAAATGGGACATGTACGATGAGTAGTAAACAGGTCATTCAAAGAATATATATAGTTATATATTATGTATATAGACACATAGTATATAATGTATAGTATATAGACGTTCTTTGGATCATTTTTGGTGTTGGCGCTAATTTTCAAACTCGCGACGTTCTTTGGATCATTTTTGGTGTTGGCGATAATTTTCAAAATAGCGCCAACGCTGCACTGTATACTAGGATTTTACCTGTATAGTGTATAGTATACTATGACCCGTTAACTACTCATCATATATGTCCCGTTTTCACTGCTCATCATAAAGTCGCCAAAAGTAGTCAAATCCCGTGTGCACCGGATACTAGGATTAAGCCATCATGGTATTCTAAAGCTAATTAAAGGAATGCAGTTTAGTTCAATTATACTTGAATTTGGAAATTATGTTAAGAGTATTTTCAATATTGCCAATCATTTATGTTAGGGTGAAAGAAGCTTTAAAAAACAAAACTTTATAACATCACTGTACAGAATATAAATTAAATAATAAAATAGATTTTGAAAAAATATATATATATTATATATAATTATATATATATTAAGAGCACAAAGGAAAAAGTCGGAGCAGTGTCGATGCGTGCTTAGATCCATATTGAAGACGAAGTAATCTGATTGTGTCGTAAACTAATGAATGTGTTGACTTCGTAAATAAAACTTGGCAGTAGAAGCGATTTGAATTCCATTTTTATTTCCAATTGATATTTGTGGCCACAATCACTTGGCACTCTAGTCGTGCCTTTCCACAGAAGATTTACATTTTTGATATTGTTGGGATAGAAAGCAAGCCAGAGAAATCACATCTTAGCACAGTAGCGAGCAAAAGCTGAAGTGCATAGTTATGCAAGATGGAGGCACGCGAAGAGAAAAGTTTTGGTTTTCAAGGACAGTTTCAGTTCCCAATGATTACGTCATCAGAGCTGAGCCTATCATAGAGTATCTAGAAATGACGCAATGCAAAGAAGTTATTACGATTTTAGAATAGAGAGGAAGAATTAATGTTTATAGTTATATTATAATTCTGATTCATACATTTTTATCTTACATATTTCCCCCCTTCAAAAAGAAAAAGGCGTAGCGACAGAGAAGCCTTTTTAAAGAGAAAGAGTTAAAGCACTAGCAAATGTAAAGAAAAAAACATAAATCATAAAATTTTGATTCTATAAAAGTATAATTTATAAATATCAATTTTTTTAAAAATAAATTTTAATTTTTAGAGTCCTATTAAATTTTTCAACATTTCAATCCAAAAGTCTTTTTGTTTGAGAGTTCACATAATCATAATTCTTCAGGGAAAGTTCTTGTTATCGCAGAATATCACAAAATAAACTTTTACACAATCATTACTTATAATTAAATGTAATGCACATAAATATTTATGATACTTATTTCTATACTGATAAATTATATTTTAACAGCATATAATAATAGGAGTAAGCTTCAGAAAATATGGTTTCACCGTTATTATCTTTCATTTGCAATTCCTGATTTTACCAAACTGGAAGCCTCGCAATACTTCTAAACAAACATATCCATCAATAGGGCTGTCCTCTTGAGCTAACCAGTGTGTTCTCTGCACTGGTGGCCCAGGGTGCCTAGACAGTTACTTGAAAAGGCCTCCGTTCTTTGCATTAAGGTAACTGGCCTTTGAGAACTGCATTAATACATTCCATAATAAAAAAATATAATAATAATAATATTAAAAAAATTACAAACACTCATAAAATGAGAGCCTCCAACATTATCTTTCATGAAGAGGGTAAAAGGAACAACTGTACAGAGGTAATAACAGGCCTCTGTTGAAGGAACCAGTACATCCTCAACATACACTATACTTAACATACAATCACCCATAAATTTAACATGCATTTACCATAATTTCATATTACGTATCTGTAATAATTTTACTTATTTTTAACATCTACTTCATTTTTAGAATAATTATAAAATTCGTATTCAAAATTATCAACAAAATTTCAAAAACATAAAAACTTATCTTTATATCCTTCCCTATGAATAATTTAAATAGCTTAAAATTAATTACTTAATTTGCTCACACATAATTATGATAAATTAGAAAAATCAATGAACAAGAATTTCAGATTTTCTCAAAACAAATTGCAGAAATTTTAACCAATGTTGAAATGAAAACTATAGAATTCGCAGCACATTAAATAATTTAGTTCCTGAGCTAGGTTCACACGAATGTAATAATTTTTGAGCTGTTGAAAAAGCGGAAGTGCAAATAATTTTCTGTCGCACATACTTGCAAACACTAATTCAGATCGACCTTGAACTCGCTGTAATGCTGAATTCCTAAACGGTAATTCACTGATGATTTCTTTTTCACTAGGCATTCGAACTTCTCAATTTATCGAGATATTACTTTCAATCTGTAAACACTACGCGTGATTATTTTTTGAAGCACTTGCAGAACACCACAGCAGAAGAATGATCTGTTATTTTTTAAACACTGAAAAAACAAATTTGATGATTCACTTCTTTCACATTATCTTGGATTTATCACAAAACGATGATTTAAAGAGCTGAATTAAATTTTCCATTGAGGTTTCAGGCTGCAGGAAACTATCCTTACCGGCTTAATTGTAATAATAAGAGCACAAAGAAAAAAGTCGGAGCAGTGTCAATGCGTGCTTAGATCCATATTGAAGACGAAGTAATCTGATTGCGTCGTAAACTAATGAATGTGTTGACTTCGTAAATAAAACTTGGCAGTAGAAGCGATTTGAATTCCATTTTTATTTCCAATTGATATTTGTGGCCACAATCACTTGGCACTCTAGTCGTGCCTTTCCACAGAAGATTTACATTTTTGATATTGTTGGGATAGAAAGCAAGCCAGAGAAATCCCATCTTAGCACAGTAGCGAGCAAAAGCTGAAGTGCATAGTTATGCAAGATGGAGGCACGCGAAGAGAAAAGTTTTGGTTTTCAAGGACAGTTACAGTTTCCAATGATTACGTCATCAGAGCTGAGCCGATCATAAGAGTGATCTAGAAATGACGCAATGCAAAAAAGTTATTACGATTTTAGAATAGAGAGGAAGAATTAATGTTTATAGTTATATTATAATTCTGATTCATACATTTTTATCTTACATATATTTATATATGTATATATAATTTATTTCCTAAACAGTATTGATTAATTGATTATATTATCTCCTAAGTTTAATTAAAGTAGAATTATTTTAAAAGTGTGCATCCATACTGGTAAGTTATATTTTGAAAGATGTTTTGAAGTAATTTGAAAGCAAAATGTTAATAATGTTTTAACGGGGATATATATATTGCCCATTTTATTTCATTAAAAGAATGAAAAATTAAATTACAGAAAAAGCTGAATATTAATATACATATATTAATTGCTCTTTTTTATATTAATTTTAGTATATTATTCATATTATTTGAGTACTGTTTGCTGTTTATCAAAAAAGATCCTTTTCAAAATTTTTAATTAATATTATATAAATTATTACATGCATTAATTATCTAAATACATAAAATTATTATTTGGAACAGCTTTAGTATAGCCCACCTTCAAAGTTTGGCGAATTTCGTTTGGCGCCAAAGCACATGAAATACGTTGTTTTGAAAAATGGTTGCCATCCAGATTTTCGACGAAACTCCGTGTTTAAAAAAAAAAATGGCTTGATGGTAGCCATCTTGATTTCACCAGAAATCGTGGATAATAGAAATAAGTTTACGACTGTTATACACGGTTTTAAGAGAAAGAAATATTAAGAAATGATTAATAAAAATGATTAAGGTTAAAAGGATGTAATTTTAAAACAATACCGGAAACCTTTAGCTATTTCACCTTTAATAAATAATTTGGTGTGACGTCACAATGTATTCTCCATGCTACGCGTAATTTCTATTTTCTCTTTAAAAAAAATAATGAATTGTTTATTATTGTAAATTAACATCAAATTCTTTAAATTTACATTTCTGAGCTTAGGCGTAACTGAAAAAATAAGTATAATAAATTGTTTATATTTAAAATTATCATGATACAGTAAGCGAATTCTACCAGTTATTACAACGATAAAGAACGTCGCAGTCTCTCATACTTGTATTTCATACAGCTTCCATATTTTCAAAGATTTTTAAGCTTTAGCATTTATACAAATAAAAAAAAGTTTTTTTTAATTAATACTCTGGAACATATCAATTTTATCATATTTACAAATTAACGTTTTGCTACGTAACAACATAATCCCTTATATACCAGTAAGTAGACAATTTTCATTATTTTCTAAAAATTTTAAACTTCACATTAATGAAAAACAGGTTCTTAAATTTCTAAATCACATTATATTCTCTGTAGGCAGGCATACTAGAATTCTACACATAAATAAATAAAAAATTTAATTTCTCGCAATGAAAGAAAATATTATAAGAAAATAAATACTACAAATTAGGAACACTAAGCAATGCTTCACATACACACACACATACAGTCTCTCACAAAGTGATGGGACACTTGTGCTTTACAAAAGGAAACTGTAGTAAAATAAAATTAAAAAAAAACATGTAAAAATTTTTTTTGGTGTGTGTTTCATACTTAAATTTAGTAAAAACAATTACTACATAACATACATTTTCTCAAAATATTAAAATATCAATTTAATAAAAATACAATTGTTTAGAACGGAGCAAAAAATGGCTCACATAAGTGATGGGACACTTACTTTTCCATCAAATATTTATCCAAAAATTTTACTTTATAAAAGGTTTTAATATTTTGTTGGATTTCCTTTTACTTTTAAAACATGATTTAATCTTCTTGGGATGGATTCGACTAATTTTTTTGCGATTTCTGGAGTGATTTTACCCCATTCTTCTTGAAGCACCGATTTTAATTTGAAGAAATTGTTCGAAATTTTCCCTGGTTTTCTCCACACCAAGATTTTACCGTCAGAATCAAATATATTAAATTTACTCTCATCAGCAATATAACTTC